AGATTTGTATTTCCTTTCTCCAATGGAAACTGTCTTTATTTGAAGCGGTAAATTTGAGATCGAAGTAGATGGTTCGCACATTACCTCCTGCCACTATGCTGGTGGAAGTAAGCAATAGATATGTCATTAGCTCCTTTTGTTCGTCTACCAGCATTTAAATTTGACCCGCACATGTCAACGGTGAGTGACAAATGAGCCTAGGTCTTCCCAGGGAAGACTTCCTTATATAGTGCACCTTCTTGTTTAAATAGAGACTGGTGTTTTTCTTAGTTTTCCATTATTCCTTTTAAAAGGCTTAAGCCCATTGCCAGGTCTCTCTCAAGTTTGGGGTCTCATGTAGCTCAAGGATTTTTGAGCAGGCAAATAAGTGCTTATGCTAAAGCCCTTATAAAGTTGAAGTGGCTACCTGTAAAACAGCAGTTGTATCATTGCCATTCAATAATGGCCTTTAAATGCAGGACTGAGTGTGCACCAGACTCTTTACTTTCTAAATATATCCAAAGAGCTACCATCACTAAGCGTACAACGAGGAACTCCCAGATGCTAAATATTCCTTTGTATAAAACTGCCACAGGACAAAGAACTTTCTACTTCAGGACTGTCAAACTCTGGAACTCATTAGATTCTACTCTTAAGTTGAAACTGACACTAAAGGACTTCAAATGTTGCCTAAAGAGAAGCCTTGTCTCAAACTTTTTAGACACTTACTTGCTTTTGTTTGTTGTTATTTAATTTACTTTTTAATTAAATAATTAATTTGATTATGTTATCGATTTATTAGTTAACTAACTTATTAACTTAATAATGTATAGTTGTAATTATTTCTTTATTCAGAAGAGCCTATTTGGATGAATAAAGTATGTATGTATGTATGGAGAGGGCCTGCGTGAAGCTTATGTACTGACAAGGTTGTTCACTAACCTTTTTTTTTTTGTCTTTTACAATGGTATGATGCTGGTCTTGGTATATATACAGATCAGAAGGAGGTAAGAATTATTGCAAATTAATTGCTGTAAACTGTATGTCAATCATTCCTGTAATTTGATTTGTGTATGCTTGCTTGCGTCAATCACACGCATTCGCCATCAGATCACCACTGGCTTTTTTACTGTGTTTACACGCAGTTTAATTGCGATGTGAAAATTAATGGGAGGGTTATAAAATAAATAAACACTGTTCTGGCTTCCTGGTATGTCGGCTGATAATGTTCTTGGCTGAGAGATTGTCCTCAAAATTTCATATTTTCCCTTGAAGTTTCGCTTCTTGGCCAAATATTCATTTTTCGGACAATCTCTCAGCCGCGGACATTATCAGCCGACATACCAGCCGCCCAAAGGAGTTTATTTACTAAGTATACTCTCCATGCTATTCTTTATACAATTCTTATGGTATCGACAGGAGAATCTGTTTATAAATCAAGAGCGCGAGTAGCTGATCATTTCCTGTTTTCTCATAACCTTAATCTTTGATTCAGTAGTGACAACGTATGGAGAAATTAGACACTAGTCACTCTGACGGGTTAGAAAGTTAAGGGTATTGTAGAAACTGATCCCCCGCCTCGCCCCAGTCCGAGCGCGTAAATAGTAGAAATAGGTCCACATTCGCGCGGGCTATAAAAWATAGCAAGGACTTCGCTAGTTCAAAGTCGAGCAACGTTAGTTCTTTACGCAGTATTCCCAAATCGTCAGGTAATGTCTCCTATCTTCGCTTGTTTCATATTTCATCCCGTGTTATCCGTGTTTCCTATGTTATTTCATTGTTGTAATTAGTTATTCCGCTCTTAATGTATTTTGTCAGTAACCTTCAATCATTCTAGAAACCACTGGCAACTACATGTTTATTAAGAGTTCAAGTTTATTAAATTTCTTTGCGTCTCCGAATTTTTGCTGGTGCGTTGTTAACAAGTATCATTACACGACTCGGGCAGTCAGAGGGCCAATAACTAAAATCAACCTTATCAAAATGCTCTATTGCCGGTCAATATTCTCTCAGTATTGGACCGGACACTGTCCCGAATGGTCCCGAATGATACCGAACTTGTATCCCTTTGAACGTCAGTCGTATAATAAATCTCTTATTAACCAAGCTTGCTCGGGACCGTACTGGAAGAATATCGGCCCTCGGTCTTTTTTGTACGGACCTCGCTGCGCTTGGTCCGTACTGTCAAGACCTCGGGCCGATATTCTCCCAGTACGGCCCTCGCGCTTGGTTAATAAGATATATTTCTGTCATTTTTTTCCAAGATGATGGTACCATCACTGTGCGGACTCAAAGTCTTGATAGTCTGGAGGCTGGGGAGGAGGAGGAGGACATTTCAGTCGTGAAGAAGAAGAAGAAACACAGATCCACTAACGATTCCTCTGAGCCAAGCAAGAAAAGTGAGAAGGTTAAGCGACGACAGCAGATTGATAAAGACTCATCTGAAGGTAACGGTTGTTTGACTCAAATAGGCAGGAGCATGTTTTTGTCTTGAATACTGAATTTTTAACGCATCTGTGAAAGTAGTAGTCCATTTTACGGTTGTGCGCTTGGTTGCCAAGCCTTTGAATGGGAGTGAGGCTAGGGTTGACCTTGTTATGATACAAACCTTGCTGCCTTTCAAATGTAAATCACTTTGTTGTCATGCTATGTAGATACAGGTCTCTATCACAACAAGGTCACCTTCAACCTCACTCTGAATCAAAGGCTTGGCAACTAAGTACACAACTGTAAAATGGCCTATTGACAGTACGTTTCGTAGCGTATCAGTGAAGGTAACTGACAGTGCTAACCAATCGTGTAAAAGGAAATGAATTACCCCTTTACGCCCAGACATCAGTTTGTATGTTCTCCATTCTGTTCTCTTTAAATTTCCTAAGATACTTTAAGGGGGAATTTGTTTAACAATCAAGAGCTTCTTTAGTTGGTGATCATTTCCGTTATTTTCCTGACCTTAATGGGTGATCGGGGGTGATATTGTAAGGAGAAATTAGATGCTATTCTCTCCGTGGGGTTTAAAGTTAAAATTCATTTTTAAACTCAACGGTCTGGCCGGCCAGTTTCGACATCCGGGAATCTTCATTGAACTACGCAGCCTGTATTCACATTTCGTAACAAAACAAAAACTTGCGTCCGTTGATTGTTTTTTCTTGATTAAAAATCAGGCGAGGGGGACGATGGAGATGACCATCGCAAACGAAAAAAGAAATTGAGAAAGCGTCAACTCAGCGGCGGAGTTGTTACCAAAACGGAAAGTCCAGAGCAAGAGGAAAGGGACTGGGGAGACGAAGATTACGAGGAGGAACGCAGTGATTTGGAGCGGGAAGAGCGTGGTGAGCTGGACTTCGAGCGTCAGCTCAATTTAGAGAAGAGACGACAAGATCTTCAACGGGAGCTGGCTCTCATGGACGAAGAGGACGCTTTGAGGGAGAAGGCCGAACGAAAAGTAAAAGATGTGAAGAAGGAGAGAGATGAAGACCTCAAACCGGTGATTCCCGTGGTTCATAGCAAGCTGCACCCAGAGAAGTCGTCCGTATCTCCTGCAGATGAGTTCTCACCGGTCTCCTCGCAGTCGACTCCGAAAAAAAAGAAGAAAAAGGCGGAGGGGGAGGGAAAGAAGGTGAAGACGAAACGTAAGATGTCTCCGTCAACGAAGGAACTGAAAAAACGTAAAGGTGTTAAACCAGTTGCGGAAAGTTCAGATGGTGGGGTTATGGAGGAAAGACCTAAAAAATTGACAGATATATCACCCGAAAAACCTAAGGCCCCTGTTCGAGCACAGCCTGAATTTGAGGAGACAGCTGCAGGAAAACCACGGGTCCCGAAAAATAAGAAGCAAGTGAAACCCAAACAAAAAGAAGGCCAATTAACCAGGAGTTCTGGGGATACTTATTTAAGTCCCTCGGGTCCCTCCGGGCATAGAGCTCCGCGAACTCCTCCTACGGAGGAAATTCCCAGGGATAAGAGATCTGTTACTCCGGAAGAGCAAAGGGCGCCTGTGGAAAAACTGCGTCGAAGAACAGTCCTGTCGTCTCCAGAGGGCTCCGATTCTCCGGTTCCTCCCTACGGCAGCGAGAGCAGGACTTGGAGGAACACGGATCCCCCTGATGGAAGTCCTCGAAAAACTGCTCGTGAGCTCCACATTAACGAGCCACCGGGAGAAGCAGAATACAAAATAAAAGGGAAAGGCCACGAGAAGCCTTACAGAAAAGAAGAAAGATCACCTGGTACCCCTGAGCACGGACGAAGAGTGGTGGCAATTAAAGATACACGTCATGTGGAGGAGGGAAGGAGTGAGAGACGAAAGAAAATTATGGACGAAGAACCACCGCGTAGCCCATCTCCCGAGGATATCCCCGCGCGGGATCCTATCACACCTCCCGAAGAACTGCGTAGGCATAGGACCCCGCCGCCCAGGGGAGACAGACGAGGACCACAGACTCCTCCGGGTGAGCCCGATTACGATGACGCACCGAAGCAAGGGTCAAGTGACCGGGCTGCCCCCCGGCACCGTGGACCCTACACTCCACCCCTCCCTAACAATCCCTCGGTGCGCAATCGAGATGAAAGAAATCGTGAAGAATTTCACGACGGTAGGTCTGAGGCCGTGCCTTATCGCGATGAGGCGTCTGTGCCTCGTAGTAAAGAGCGACCTGAACGTGACGCTAGATACTCAAGACAGAGGGGTGATGATGGGGTCGATGACACGTCGCGAGGCAGCCGAAGTCATGCTCCAATAGACGAAGATTTTCCGAGGGGCCGAGGTCGAGACGAAGAACTTGGTAGAGTTAGACATCGCAATGAGCGTCAGGATGACTATCATCAACGCAATCGCCCAAAAGATGACCGAGCGGATGACTTTCACCGAGTTCGAGATCGTGAACCAGATCGAAGTGACGATTATTACCGAAGCCGGGCCGAAGAGCCCCGAGGCGGTGAACCACCACGCAGGAAACTCGAGGTAGATGAGGAATATCTTCGGCGACGCGAAGATCGAGATGACGATCATTTGCGCGCCCGTAATCGAGAGGTAGAGAGAGAAGACGAACGTTCGCGACGGAGAGACGATCGCAATGACGACCATCAACGAGGCCGTGTCCGTGAGGAGCACGAAGATGACATGCAGAGGCCCCGAGGCGGGCGTGATTTTCCCAGGCGTCCGTTCGAAGGAGGAGATGAAAGACATTGGGAAAGACACGGGGAGAGAGACAACAGAGAAGTGCAGTTTGGCGACAGGGATAGAAGGAGACCGGATATGCCTCGGCAAGATGTGTCTGACAAGTAAGTAATGATGCTTCTGGATGCTTTTATTATTCTGCACTTCAAGTCATGTACAGACCTAAAGATTGTCCTTTACTTTACAAGTTTTCCCGTCAATGTTATGACGGGTTGTTCGTCGCTCTTATTTCCAACAAAGAGTTTCCAACTGCCCAAAGCTAGTCCAGCTTACTGCGCAACCTGACCAATTCAAGCATTATTGTTTGGTCCCAAAGTGTACACCTTAAAACGAGCTCTGTTCTTTGTTTTTAGCCGCAGCCGTGAAAGACCTGGAGAGAGACCACGTGATAGAGACGGTCGTTATCCACCGCCCGGACCTGACTATCACAGACGCTCGCCTACCATTCCCCACGGGTCACGTCGATCACCTCCACCCCATGGACCTCCACGTGGGCCGCATCGGTTTGAAGAGCGCAGACGTAGTTTATCTCCTGGAGGACGCAGGGAGGAGGGTTATCGCCAGGGTCCTCCGCGAGACCAAAGCGGTTATGGCATGGGACGCGAGCCAGCGCATGGGAGAGGTGGGCACTCCGCGCCTTTTGAAAACCGTGGCCGACCCGTGGAGGGTAGAAGAAGAACTTCACCCCCTCCAAGACAGTACGCAGAGCGTGGCCGAGGTGCCCCGAGAGGGAGAGGAATCAGAGGTAAGTAGATCTCTGTTACATGCAAATAGATAATTTTTTTTTTTTTTTTTGTTTATGAGAAGTCTGAATGGCAACGGACAGGCCTTTGGGTGTTGGCACCGATGCTTGTCTCGGGTATTTTTTGGGAAACTTTATCGCAAATAGTTGATAGGTTAGATTAGTGTGGTGAGGGTTCGTTTTAACACTCTGTCTCATGTCATTCCGTGATCTTACCATTCCCACTGATCAAGAAAAGGTCTGTGCCTGACTGATTGCCTCCAATACTGTTCTCTTTCTCCTTTTAATTTTGCGCTAAAAATGCTTGGCAACAGCTTTTGACCACTATGTTACCATCTTGGAATGATGACGAGGTGGCGTGCTTTTAAGTTGTCGTAACTAAGTTGTCTCACAAAAGTTACAAACAATCACAGAAGCCGGCAAGTCACGGTGTTCTGCGGTATTTGGTAATAACGGCGCATTTTGTAATAATGGATTGCGGCATTTTATGATTATTTTTAGCATTTTGTCTCACGATGTAAGAGTCAGGTTAATTAAATGAGGAAGTTCTGTGAACTTCAGAAACCCTTACGTTTGGTTGATTTGATTCAGATAGGTCAGTTGTGTATTTGCTAGTGATAATGAAGCGTAGAACGCTCTACTAAACCGCAATTCACAAAAACCAAAAAAAAATCGGCTGTGGTGTTTGTCAAGGCTGTGCTCTAAGGAAAATTGAATGGAGCCCAGTGCTCTGAAACTGTAAAATCCAGGGTGCCCAGCATATGCTTTTTATGAAAAAAACTAAAATTCCTGAGTCGCCCAAGAGTAAAAGTAAGGCGCCAGGGGTCACCGGGCGCTACTAGACCACAGACTTGTTTGTTTCATTCTCTCTTACGTGTAATTTTACCTCAGGGGGCCGGGGTTTTCCCGACAGAAGTCGGCCGCCAGGGGACCGGTACCAAGACTCTCCTCGTGATAGAGGGGCACCATGGGATCCCGAGCGCCGACGTGAAAGAGATCATCCACGCGATCGGAATCGACCGCATGACGAGTCACGTGATCGGGACAGACGTCCGAGAGGTGAACTGTCTCCAGGTCGAGGTCCAAGGCATTGGGAAGATAGGAGAGCTGGTAAGTGCAGAAGATTATTACATTTTGTGCACTAATGAATACTTTACATAATTTGCAATAACTAATTCAATTTTTTTCAAATCAGAGAGCATTGCGTCTCTTTGTGGAAAAATTTTATTGTCCTATTTCACTTTTTTTGGGAAATTTTAGAAATTTAATGAAAAAGAGACATGAGAATGCTAATAGTTGTTGTGTTTGTTATTACATCGCTTTCATGTTTTCTTGAAGAAAATGCGCGAGAGCAACCTTTTCCAATCCTTTGTGATCATAATAATAATAGTAATAATAATAATAATAATAATAATAATAATAATATAATAATTATGATAATAATGATTAAAATTTGTGTTGTGCAAATTCCATGGAAGCATGATCAAGGAAAAATTAGGATCCACCCTTGGAATTCCGGCGGGTTCACTTGGATTTGATTTCCTTTTGATTGGGAACGTGTATCTTCTAGAAAAATTGCATGCAAGAGAATTTTGTTTAAATGCGTCGGCAAGTTTTATTTGTGTGATAAGGTTTGCCTGTTAGGGATTCTTCTAGTCAAGAGGAGAACATCCTCATAGATGAACATTTGGTCGGCTAATCTCATTACCTTGCAAGCGGTAATCTCTGAGACGGGGTGTGAAGTTGTTAATAAGAGAGTGCATGATGTAACTGCGATGACGTGTGGGGAAAACTTCTTTTCCCCCTAAGGATTTCGCCACTAGCTCGATGCGTTAACCGTTTCTGACAGGTTTATGCTCTGTATGGGCTTTAAAACGCACTGGCAGTGCTATTGTTGTACTCAGTAAATCTGTACCTTCTTGTTTGCCGTCGCCATCGTGGTTTTCTTTAAGGCTGCGTTCACACACCATTTTGTGAACACAGCCTAAGTCCGGAATGTTTTCATCCGAATGAATCGCCCTCTTTACTCCTTAGGGAGCCCGGGACGAGTTGTTAGTCCATCGCGCGACCACCGTGCGCATGAGCAGGAGAAGATACCGCGGGAAGCGGAGGAAGAGGGCAGGCGTCGTTCAGATGAAGAAGATGAAGAATGGGAATACGAAGAAGATTTAGGAGACGATAAAGATAAAATACCTCGACAAGGAGAAAGGTAGCTAATCTTGTCATCTGTAACGAAAATAGATTTGTTTCGCAAGCATTTAATGCTTTATGGTCCATATTCTCCCGGGGTTGAGATCTTGATTCCCACGGACCAACCAATATTTTGTGGGGGGAGGGGGAAGGGAGGAATGAGGCGGTAAGGGTGAAGGAGGGGGAGTTGTTATTATGAAAAAATTTTCACGACAAGCATTTTCGCTAAATTCCAATTTTTCTTTTCTTGTAAGGACTCGCCGTGCTTTTCTTTATGGTGTCTGTATCATTGATTGATATCGAAATGGAATCAATCACCTCACCCACCAGGTTCCTTTTTTTATGTTTAATATTCGAAAGGAATACCGAGCCACCTTTATTGAATAATCACTCCCGTTATGTTTGTTTACGATCGACAGAAAAAGACCCAGAGAAACAGGCTCGTCTGTATCAACCATCGAGTCGCCTGTAGGAGGCAAAAAGCGCCGAAGTGAAACCCCTGAAATGGAAGCAACGGCCGTCAGGGAGGTGCCCGAAGTAATCGAAAAACAGGATGATCATGAAAAGGATGTCATTTCGGCAGCTCCTGTCAAGCAAACTGCAAAACCTAAGAAAAAGAAAGTCGGGAAAAAAGGGAAAGGTCCAAAACTTGACGGCGAACCTGATGTTGAAGTACAAGTACCACATGAAGCGCCTGCACAGTCCGAAGAATCGCCGGAAGGTGGGAAGCCTGTTAAGGTTGAGAAAAAGCTCAAGAAAGAGAAAGGAAAGACAAAAGAGAAGGTGACGAAAAAGAAGAAGAAAATTACCAGTGTGGTGGCACCAGAGCCCGCACTGGGCACAGAGAAAAACGAAGAACCAGCTAGCATGACGGAAGAAAGCGGGGTAGCATCGTCGGAAAATCTTGGGGAGGTGACGCAACAGTCCGAAGAGGAATTGATTCCTAAGGTGGCTAAAAAACGCCGGCATCCAGCTGCTCCTGAAGGGGAGGAAACGAAGGTGAAGGGTGGTGATAAACCACCGAAGAAGAAGAAAAAGAAGAAGCATCAGCCCGAGGTTGTCGTTCAACCTTGGGCCGACCTCGAAGACGAGGACGAAGAAACGGTTCTATACAAGTCAGAGAGCAACGAGCGCCAGAGTAGTGTCAAGGATGGTCAGTTGGGACAGGCCAGGGAGATCGAAGAGAATAAATCGTCCAACACAGCTGCATATGGAAGAAAGGAAACGGGAGATGCTCCAAAAGTTGAGGAATCCGTGGAAGTGTTTAGTGATTGGAGCGACGATAGTCCTATCGGAGACGACGCCTGGTCCGATGTTAACGAACCGGATATTTCTGAGAGCAAACCGAAAACCAACGATAAGGAACCCTCAGCTGTAACGTCACCAGTTCGGAATGAAGCGCCAACGTACGACGATGTTTACGACCCAATTAGTGACGATGAACTGGACGCCATGTTAGGGGACGACGAAGAAGATGCCGGAGCCGGGGTTCCTGATAGGAAAGGCCCATCTAGTGCTCCTATGGCGGTTGAGGACGTTGATTGGAGTGCGTTGGTCTCTGCGCAAAACACCTCGGACAAAACGGGTGCGTTCTCCTTTTCCTCGGAAAAACACAAAGGGCCGGTTGTTTAAACAAAGTTTAGCTGTTGTTTAACAAAACCGCGTTCTAAACTATCTTTAACTTAGCTAAATCTTTTGTCTTAACATTTATTTTTTGTGAACAGTGTCTAGAGGACCGAAAGCGAGCAGAGGAAGGACATTTATTTAATTAAATCAACTCTTTAATTGAGAATACTTTAAGGCCCACTGCTTGCGTAAAACCGCGGTTTGGGTTAGACCTCGCGTAAATAACGGGCCCTAAACGTTTTGGACTGATATTAGCAAATCTGATGTTATCGAAATTTTACGGCGATACACCTGGTACACGGTGGGAAAAGTTGGTGCCCTAATGACTTGTGAATAAGGATAGGGTCCGGTTTTTAACTCAGGCAAGACACTAGACTGTCACAGTGTCTATTTCCACGTAAAAGTATAAATGGTTTCCGGCGAACTGTGTTTAATACCTGACGAATTGGCAGGGATAACCTGTGATTTACTATTTAGCATTTCCTTAATCTTTAACTCCGAGGAGTGACCAAGACAGAATTTCTCCGTACAATATAAATACAATATCAAGCAGACAACGATGAGAGTCAAGAAAACTATCAATTTGGGGATTGTTAGTTGATCCAATACCAATTTCTCCAAACTAACATCATGAGAACTATAGGGCAGACAGAGAAGAGAATTATTAACCGCCTCCTGGTTAGCTCAATGGATAGAGCGCTGGACTGTTGTGCGGGAGGTCGAGGGTTCAAGCCCTGGCCGGACCAACACTTATGGTCTTAAAATAATTGAGGAGAATGTGCTGCCTTTTTATAATATCAAGAAATGGATGGATATCCCAGTCTTTCTCGGATAAGGACGAATAAACCGTAGGTCCCGTCTCCTGCAGGGTTAGGGGAAGGAGACGTTAATTTCCCACGCATGAGATTACTCTGTGGTGGATGTCCTCCCCTGGGATGGGATGGGTGGGTGTAAGATTGGCCCTGAAAAGCCCCATGTGAGAGTGATCAACTAACGTATGTATGTATGTTTGTTTATATCATGGGAGTAAAAGGATTAAGGAGTGACCGCCGCTATTTTTTTATTACTTCTTGCTATTCAAAACGGGATATGTACTAGCAGTGTTGGTCACGTGATTTGCAGATCTGGAAATGCTGTTATGGCTTAAGTATGATTTATTTTTTTCATTCCAGGGGAAGAACCCGGAGCTCACTTGAAACGCTTTACACCTGGTCACGTGTTCTCACGCATTGGAATCTCTTCGTCGCTTGCTGGTCCACGGTTAACCAAATTGGTGCAAAAAGCATCCGCTGAGGTGGCAAAAGATAAACCCTCAGTGAGAGAGACAGTTGACTCAGGTGATGTCGACGACGGGGATGTTTCTCAAGTCACAAACAGTATTGGCGCGCTGATGGCAGGTGCGGCCGCAAAAAGGCGCGAAAGAGGAATGTTGTTTACGGACGTTGGACCTTGCAGACGGGCGCTGTGCGCCCGTAGGGATCTGGCTATGAGAAAGCGACTTAGGAGGCTGACGGGCAAGGTTCGTTAAGACCTGCGCCTTCATGATTTCCTAATAAAAACTTTTCAACCCTAATCACCCATGTTGTTTGAGAGCAATAGACATGAAAAGAAGAAAAGAAAGAAGAAAAAAAGAAAGAAGCTCTGAACGCTCTCAAATGCTCCTTTACAAAGCTCATTTTATATCTTGTGTTTTGTCTCTTTCCTAGGTCGGTCTTTTCCAAGTTCCATCATCCGCCCCAGTCGACAACGAACTTTATTCCATGAGCGTGGCCTTGTACAAACACGAACATTCCGCCATGGACTCTCCTGCGACAAAGTTAATCCCCTCTAGGGTGGGGGCGGTTCTCGCCACGGTGAATTCTTAAGATTCTTAAACTACGCTTGCTCAGACCACATTTACTGGTGTGGACGTCAATGAGGAAAATGGCGAATTTTTAAATATATAAGATAGCTCGGGTACAACGATATACTGTGGAACCTCGATTTAACGAAGTGCCAAGGGACTGGGGAAATTGGTTCGTTATATTGAGGGTTCGTTGTATCGAGATTCTGTGACACACATTTCACTGTAACTTAAGCCGGGCTGAAACTGAAGTTAAATAGAGGTTCGTTAACTCGAGGTTCCACTGTACCAGCAGAAAACCCACGCGTTCTCAAGAACTAGATTATCGTCCGTTTGAGAAWTAAAGTACGCCAATATTACAGTTATAGACTTAAGCTTTAGACCGATAACCTTTTTCTTGCATACTGATTGAATCTCTACGATCATTAACCAAAGCACAAGCCTTTACGGAGACAAGTCGGACCTTCTTGTTCTTAAACGGAAACTCGCTTTTGGCCTGAATCGGAGCTCACGGTCTTGTGAGTAGGGAAAACTGTGTTCACGTTTTTTAGCGGAGTTCTTGCGAGATCCGTTAGGGTTGGGTTGAGTGTGAGGATTTTTAGACGTGAGACCGTGTTGTCTGATAATTCGGGCGAGTGTAGTCCTGCAGAGGATTATTGTTGGTAATATATTGACTAAGGTTCAGAGAACCTGAATGGAAATCGTCATTAGATTCAACAGTACTTTTCTGAACCTCTCTCCGCCTGTTAATCCCACAACACGATCGACTCTTACTCTCGGACTCAAACCCTTTGCACTTTTGAAGACGTCTTTGCGAAGTTAATAGAGAGATTTAGCTCGGTGTTTACGTAAAAAGGTGATCCTCAAGAGTGACTACATGACCTTGTTTTTTCCCGCCATTTTTTTCACGTTTACCGGATGAGCTTGGACGTTTCTACTTGAAAGTAACCTGTTTTGCGTTTGCCACGTACGTAAGATTTTCTTCACTTCTTCTGTCACACAGAAGTTTATTGCCGGGAAAAGGACATGAAAACTATTTCTTGTAAGTCATACAAGAGCGCCTTCAAATCCACCTTGACATGACCTCACGCGAAGCTAAAGCACTAAGGCGAGTTCACGCTATTCTACGTGAAACGTAAAGGGGCAACCTGGCGTTTACCGTTTTACGAAAACGCGGTGCTAAATCTCCCTAATTTCAATCCTTGCATTGACATGGTAGAGAGCATAACTTGAGTGGACTTTCACTCCCAATGTATACCTGGAGATACCAGTTCTTTCTGCTTACTAGTACAAAATGATGTTTGTCTTCTCAACGGCAAGCCCAGGTTTGGTGACAGTTCTTGCGGGTATTCAATGAACTGGGCTCTCGTCGTTATTGATCCTTAGCTATGCAGCTTTCAATATGGTTTTGGAAAACTCCACGGTCGTGTAAAATCCAGTTAGGCGGAATAGCTTCAAATTTCCAAGGCATGTCGAAAGCAAGAGTATTCGTTAACACGATTTTAGTAACAAGAGAGAGAATGATATTCCTATTTGCTCCGGATTGATAAAAAGAACGACAAATTTTGGGAAAAAACATTTTTGAATTATAACAGGGGCCCGAACTTAGTTCATTTGACCAATTAATCACAGCGTGTTTAATAACTGAGTACCACGACAAGCTGTTGTGTGGTAATGCACCGATCACTTCGAAGCTTCACCCCCGGGCAACCCAGGGGCATGTGACTGTCGTCCGTGCCCGGGTGAAGGAAGGGAAATTTGAACCTTCCCCGGCTGGGTGGGGAAATTTAACCAAAAGTGTCAAGATTTTTCGAACGGATTACACCTGTTTTCTCTCTTAATATGGAGTTGTTAAATTGTAAAGAGGCTTGACATTGATAAAGGGGCACTATACAAAATTTACGGCCAATTAACTGCCAATGGATAGGGGGATCACGAGAATATTGCAGAACCTTACGGGCGGGATCAGGTAAATTTAAACGTGAACAAAATCCTCCGACTACACAACCCCCTCCCCTCCCCTCCCCAAACGACAAGCGATACGGGTAAATGAATGGTTACTTCGCGGTTGAGCCGTGAGTGTACCAGCGGTAAGCAATTTTCGCGCGTAAACACAGAGGGCTGTACGAACATTTTTACTATACCGCACCTACAATATTTTCGAAACAATGCCAAGGAACATCCACAATGACAACAGTAAATCCAGAGAAGTGAATCAGTGGGTATTCATTGCTTCAGGTTTGTATTTATTCCCTAAAATTGGCATTATCGTAAACCTAGGCCCGTATCAAACGAGATACCCTACGAAACAAGATGTTGCAAGCAGTCTTTGTTGTTCATTTCGCCATCGGACCGATGCTCTAAAGAAGGCCTGCTTTGATTCTCTCATCGAATCATTCATGTTCTATGTGTATGTTCGCACATGTAGAGAATGCCGTGTGTGGCCAAGAAGGCGACGAATTAGAACCTGTGTTCATAAAGATTCCACATCCTCGCACAGGTAATTTTCTCTAAAAATTATTACTTTCTTTACTCGTGCTAAAACTCGCTTAGACAATTAGGTCACTAGGTAAAACAAGGAGATCCCATTTTATCGTGTGTCATGGTCAGTGTTGGATCAAAGAGGCTGTTTAAGGACCAATGAACCAAACATAAACTGCGAGACGGTGTAATCTTGATCATTATTACGTGAACTCGACTTTTTGACCTTTCTTATGATCTTTTAGATGTAAGACTTGATGCAATATAAATTCTATCTTTTTGGCAAAATTATGTAAAAAAAAACTTGCCTGTGTTCCGTCATCTATGTATCTGCTCTTTTATGGTCGCAATTAGGATTGAGAATTCAGCCTATTATAGTAATTGAAATAGATAAAGGTCGTATTTACCATTAGCCTTGCAGTAAGGGCTGGGTTACAATACAGGTTATCTAAAATGCAGATAATTTGGTTCTATGCACTGAGTTGATAATGTAACTTGGCTACCATTGAGAGTTTCTGATATTGCAGTCTGCGTTCTTTCCCTGCATCTAGGTGGCTTGGAAAGCTTAAAAACTCTAGAAGGAAAATCTACGTTTCACATTGGCATTTTTTAACCCCACAGTATCAACACACACTTCTCTTTCAACTAATTTATTCTTGTGTTTTTCATGTTTACAACCATTTTCCCACCAATAGCATAGCTCCATCTTTCTGTATGTAAACCACACTAAATTGATAATTCCTCTGACATCTGCAGGGTTCTCATTAATTTAGGAAATAGACGGCTTGTTTCATAAAGTAGACAGTTGACACCAATTTATTTTCATTACTCTTTATAACTTACATACAGATTATTTCACGAAAAGTATGCGG